ACCAACTTGAGTTACAGTCTGCTCTCAAAACAACCTGAACTACTAGGTCAAGGGTCCACTGCAGTCTCATCTGTTGCATGTTTCAGTAACTCTTCACTCAGAGAAGTCATTACATGGAACTGAGTGGCTCATTAGATATAAGAAACAGGTCAACTTCTTGTCGTGAAGTAAAAATGCAAAGCAATGAGTGGGTCAGCTGTTGCCCACAGCCCCTTCATTTCAAAGACTGGCAGCTCAAGTGGGAAAAGGCTGCAAACCTGAGCGGCTCTTCATCGTCTCTGTCCACTGATATATTGGACTCCAGAAGACTCTTTCTCATTGTGGACAAACACCAGAGAAATGTGATCAGGAGGCTGTGCCTATGAGTTTCCCTGAGAAGGAAAGCTACTGTTTCAGAGAAAAGTGAAGGAATATAAATATAAGTTAAAAATGCATAACTTGAAATATTTTATCATTTAAATCTCCTAAGAATCTTTTTCTTTTCTTTTTTCTCCATCAAGTTTATTGGTACCCTTTAGATGTATGATACAGTTACATTCATCAGTGGGATGTTCTTTTTCTTTATTTTCTTGCTTTTTCTCCCTCCCCTGCTTCCCTTAAACCCCTCCACCATTTTTTATGGTCTTTGTAAAAAGAATCCTTTTCTAAGGGTGCTGGATTTTGATTAGATGATCTAGTTGTAGTTTCTTCCTCATTAGTTCATCCTTTTCAGCTGGGCCTGAGCTGAACAGGGTTAGATTCACACTTGTAACTTCCTGATATGTAGGAATTAAATCATTAGGAAAACTGGTGATGCCAGGAGTGATTTAATTGTAATTTTATTTAATGCAGTTTTTAAAAACTCTATACAGTAAAAGAAGGAAAACGTTTCATTTTGTTGCAAAAGTTGTATTTTAAATTTACATTTTGTTAAAGATGTAGTCCCATTTGAGATTATAACAGAATATTAATTTAATGATTTTACATAAAAATGCTTCTTCTTTCATTTCAACTAAATAAAGAGATTAGCCTATTATTTATAGTGACAAATTTAATTATCTACATTATTTAAGGTGCAATTAGCACATGTGAGAATTGTATATTTTAAGCATAGCCTTATCCTTTCTAAGACAAAAATCTATAGTATTGCCCATAACATCACAAGATTAGTAGTTAAATAAAGTTTCATGCACAATGTCTATCATTTTAATTGTTTCACTGTTTTGTAAATGTTTGCACACAATTAATATCTGAAACATATCTTTGTATCACTGGGTCTGTCCACACAGCGAAATATAGGGTTTCACAGTAATATGCAGCTTTGACAAAAGGAAAGGGAAACATTTAAAATTCCAAAACATATGCTGAAGGAAGTAGTAGGTTATACAAAGTCATGAATTCCCAAGAGTATATTTCAAAATTAAAAAAAGAAACTAATGTCTCAAATATTCAGCAATTTAATGAAATCTGTAGCTTTTTACCAATTCAATATATGTACAAAGATTTGAGGTCACACTCTTGCCCAAAGCAGCAGTTTATTTGGGGAAGAGTTCAAATATCTAAATACAACGAAGGAGATAGGTAATTCTCACTTTCCTTTCAGTTGGAGTGATGCATCTTGGGAAAACTAACCACACACTTTGTTTATATAAATAGTGTACACATAGATTATGTATTGATGCTGAGTGACCATTTAAGTCAGAAAATATTTTAACGTGCTTTGCTTCCCTTCACCCCCTTCACTCTTCCCTATTCGCAGACTCTGTTTCTATTTTTTCCACCCTCTTATTTTTTCTCTTCCCTTCTTAGCTTTCCACTACCCCCTCCCACTTCCCCTACACCTTTAGACATTTTTTCCTATTACAGAATAACAATTATACACTTTGATCCTTATTTACATTTTTGGTTTATTACACCAAAGGAACTATTCGGTATTTACACGTGTGTCTTATTAATTTCATTTTAGAGTATGGCCTCAATGTGCATCCACTTCACTATATTTACTTTTCTACAGAAATGCAACTGGCCTTATTTAATCAGGTATATCAGAATAATTTGTGTGCCATAAAATTATTATTCATTCACAATATAATGATAAATATTTGTTCATTTTCAAATTATATCCAAATATTAACGACACCTGATTTAACTCTAGATATCCGAGCTTCTGTTCCTCTTTATGTTCTGCATAAACTGCACGTGGTTACTGCACTCTAGTTTCTCAGCCGGGGTAAGTCATAGAAAAGTCACACAAAATTATGAAATTTCAGTGATTAAAACAAAGAGAGGAATGTCTCAGACTTTACGAGAAAAGAGGCATGAGCACAACAATGCTCACGGCAATGTTTCGCTGAAACAGATTTCCCTGTGTTAGAAAGTGCTACAATTCAAGTTTAAGAAAAGTTTCCCAGCACATATAATCTTGAAGATATATAAACTGGTACACCAAAATGTGGACATATTTAGCATTAATCTTCCTCATTAAAGCTGAACAACATATAAATACTGGTGTTACCTTCAAAGGACTAAAACCAATTACTAGTTCTGGAGTAGACACAATGGACCATTGACTTAAGAACTCAATTCATTTGCAAATGCTGGTTGTATTTAAAGTAGGACAATTGTCTTCAATGCCTCTCTCTTAATTTTAGGCCACACTTTTTCCAGGAGGATCTGTGCCCTTAGAGACACAGGCCTGGGATTTCTCAGTTAATCCCTCAGAGGAAAGAATGCTGTAAGGTTCCTTTCAGAACTCTTTAAGGGTTAAATCTGTACCCGAGACCACATAGAAACACAAGAGGCCAGCATGTGGTTCATAACTCAAGACTGGTTATAAGTTAAAATTCTGGTCTTAACCCAAGTTATTCATATGTCAGGCTGATCATAATTCAAGTGTTCACTGTACAATATTTTTTCACAGTCAGGTTCTATCTTCCAAAGTCATCACATGGTTGAACAAGTCATTTTCCTTTTCCTGTCTTTATACAATTACTTAGTTACCATAAAATCATTCATGTTAATTACAATCCTTTAAAGTCAGACATTTAACTCTACAGTTAGTCTCATTTAGTATAATTCAATTTTCATGAGATCCAGAGATGTTTGCTTCCTTTACTACTCTCAAAACTCCAGTGAAAAAAATGAGTTAATTTTTGTTGTAATTTTTAAAAATGTAGGAAAAAATTAAAGAACACAACAAGGTGAGCATTTCTTCCTTTGTATACAGGGCCATATATCTTGGGTGAGGTAAGTCACAAGTTTAAAGGGATAAGTGGAAAACCCAGTTCCTGTAGCGTCTGTATCCCTACATTATTCTTTAGAGTAGGTCTTGTGGGGTGTCTCATTGGTCAATTTCTCTTGCTATAAAATATTATGGACAGGAGCTGTATGTTCCTATCATAACAACACACGAAAGGTGTTTATAGTAAAATTGCAATTAGATCTGAAGCAAGAAATTATAACAGAAGGAAATTCTAAATCACTCATCAAAGGAAAAAGATAAGCACATTCTGTTGAAAACAGAGCCACAATTTGGTCAGAGGGCAGCAGATGTCTGAGAACCACAGGCTGGGCAGCTGCTTATGACTTAGCTCCAAGAGGAAACGGCTCTGAGAACATGGGGGTAGTGGGAACTCTCAGGATCTTTACAGGGGTAGGGCTGATCAATGAATTATTCCTAAATCCTGTGTGACAGTCATACATGTTCGAAAAATTTAGGAAAATAGCAAGCATCTTGCCAAAGTTCTTGACAATGGTAACCAGGGATATTTCAGTAATATTTTTGATATGCTGAGTAATTCCTGTAGTTCCCACAGCACCTCACTTATTATGTTACCAGTTTTGAGAAACAAAGAACAGAGACAGAGAGACAGAGAAAGAGAGACCAAGAGACAAAACAGAGATAAATAAATATTGTAACTAACACAAAAAGTAGGAGAAACAGAACAGTCTCTGTCACATTTATGCCAGGAGAATACTATCCTAGTGGCTGTGCATGATCTTAGCCTTGAAAATTTTGTGGGTGTTGGGTTAGATCCTAAGAAGGAAATAAAAAAAGGGAGGGAGGAAGAGAGAGAGAAAAATAGAAAGTAAGCTTATTTTACTCTAAGATGCAAACTAAAATTTTGAATGAGATAAGCTGTGGTCTTAATATTGTAATTTATTGTATTTTTATTATTTGTGTATTTGTTTACGTATTTTTTTTTTGAGACAAGGTCTGACTCTGTAGTTAAGACTGACCTGGAATTCACCGTGTAGCTCAGGTTGGTCTCAAACTCACAGCACACCTCCTGCTTCAGCTTCCTAAGTGCTGGGATTACAGGTGTATGTCACCACATCTGGGTTTGTATTTTTTGTTTCTGTTGAAAAAGTAGAAAACAGGATTTTTTTTCTTTCTTAATCACATCAAATGATATATTTTTATTGACTCTGAACATTTTAGAACCTTTGTATATTAGACAGTAAAAATTAAATAGAAGAATATTTTTATATTATATATATAATATGTATATACATATGTCAATAATTTCACTAACATTGGGAAGACTACACGTTGCATACATTTTAATGCAGGAGGAAATCACAAGAAAAGCAGCAATGACAATAAACTTCTACTTAGGTGGAAGGAGAATGTCATTCAAAGTAAAGCAGAATGATCCTAAAATAGGCGAGCCAGCACTGAGTAACACCATTATATATATAATATGTATATACATATGTCAATAATTTCACTAACATTGGGAAGACTACACGTTGCATACATTTTAATGCAGGAGGAAATCACAAGAAAAGCAGCAATGACAATAAACTTCTACTTAGGTGGAAGGAGAATGTCATTCAAAGTAAAGCAGAATGATCCTAAAATAGGCGAGCCAGCACTGAGTAACACCAGGACAACATGGACTATAACTACTAAACCTTCTGAAGGGTAAAGAGCTATGAACGTATTTCCTGCACTGCGATTCTTCCTGGGTTCAGCACTTCTGTCTTCTCTTCTCAGGAACAAGCGACATCAGCCACGGATGTCCAACTCCACCACAACAATGGTCTTTCTCCTCATGGAGTTTCCTGGCATGCGGGATCTACAGGTTTTCTATGCCATGATCTTCTCTCTGATTTATCTGATGACTATAATGGGAAACCTTTTCATTGTAGTGGTCACCACTCTTGACAAGAGCCTTTACACACCCATGTACTTCTTCCTGAGGAACCTGTCCATCCTGGACTCCTGCTACATTTCTGTCACTGTCCCTAAATTCTGCATGAACTCCCTGCTGGGCACAAGCTCCATTTCAAAGGCAGGATGTGTAGCTCAGGTCTTCCTTGTGTTATTCTTTGCATTTGTAGAGTTACTATTTCTCACCATCATGGCTCATGACCGCTTTGCAGCCATCTGCAGACCCCTCCATTACCCTGTGATCATGAGTCCTCACCTGTGTGTACATAGCACACTAGTCTCTCTGCTCAGTGGCCTCATCTATGCAGCCCTGCACACCATCAAGACCTTCCAACTGCCCTTCTGTCACTCCCATGCTGTTCAGCAGCTTTTCTGTGATGTCCCTTCTCTGCTGAAGCTGTCTTGTTCTGACACCTTCTACAACCAGATCATGATGCTAATCTCTGGATCGGTTTTTGGTGGTGGCTGTTTCATTTACATCATCAAGTCTTACATTCACATCTTTTCTACCGTGCTCAGGTTTCCAGTGGGAGCAGATAGGAAGAAGGCCTTTTCCACCTGTGTCCCACACATTCTCGTGGTGTCTGTCTTCCTCAGCACAGGCTCTTATGTCTACCTGGGACCCTCTGCAATGTCTGCTGGAGTCTTGAGGATGATCCTGTCTGTGTTCTACTCTGTAGTTCCTCCCCTCTTCAACCCTATTATCTACAGTCTCAGAAATGAACAGATAAAATATGCCATCAGGAAACTCATGACAAGAATGTTCTATTCAGAATGTGTATTGAGAATTAAGGGGGGATTTCTGTTTCATAGTAGTCATAGTCATGCTTTTGGCAATAAAAGCAAATAAGCAATTAAAGACATTCCATACCTTTCTTGTGAAGTAAATACTTATGTCTTTTAAACATCTCATGTAACAATTTCTTTTTTGGGAGGAGGATACAGGGGATTGAACTTGGGTCCTTGCACTTGCAAGGCAGGCCACTGAACACTGAGCTAAATCCCTGTTCCTCATGTAACAATTTCAGTCATTTCTAAATTGTTTGGTTAAATTTAATATAGGGAAGCAATGGGAAAAAGCACTGGTTGATGAAGCACAAGTCAAAATTTTTTGACCTCTCAGGTTTTTTCACCATATCTTCCATGTTCAGAAATATGAATTCTGGAAAGTCAGAAGTTCATGTGGACCATACACTAACCAGTGTTTTACAATTTATAGAAATTATGGAATATGAAACATGTTGCTAAATTCCTTACAAAGTACATGGATGAGGCCATCTCTTACTTAAACAGAGGCAGAATGAGAGAAAAATAAGAAAGATGGCATGGAACACAATAAAAATCTAAGATGCTCATTATGAAATACTAGGAGAAATTTAAGCAGAAGTGATAAGGATAAAGCCAGCCCTTAGTCTTGCTGACTTCCTCATTTTAAGTAACAAGATTGTAAGCATTCATTGTTTACTACATATTGTGTTAAAATGGGCATGTATTTCAAGGAAGACATTGTGAAAAGTTGGCAATGAAGCTAATAAACTCAAGATACAGACATATAAGTGCTGCATAAGTTACCTTGGAGGTGATGCTGCTGTTCCCGATACCTCCTCTTTGTTCACTGGAACCCCTCCTCACAGCCTTGAGGAGACTGGGCCACAGGTATGAGGGGTCCCCCACCTCTGCTCACCCATCAGATTGGAGAGTTTCTGGAAAACATCACCCTGACCCAAACTGGCTGTTGTCTCCTTATCTCAGATTCTTACTCATTTATAAGGTTGTTCTATAAAAAAGAAGAAAAAAACGATTTAACACATAAGGGAATTTGTTAAATTAGTGTTTAATTATTATACTCATTTTTATTTCTCTTGTTTCCTTCATCAGAGTGTGAGCAGGACATGGATTATATCTATCTATTCCTTACAGCTTTGACAGCCATGGTGTTTATTCAATCTATGTTGTTTTGTGGAGCACAATTACTAATGTTGGTTATTATTGCCAGTTGGAAACTAAAGAGGGTTTCATTCTACAGAAAGATTTACATGAAAACAAGGAAATTTAGTAACAGATTCTGAACAATATAGATCATCTTCCCAAATATTAAATTTCCTCTGTTTAAATAGTTTGAAACAAGATTATCATAAGCATTTATAGATAAAGCAGTGTTTACAACAGTGTATTAAACACAGTGGAAGAAGTTATGTTAAAATATTCTTTGTATTAAACTAACAATTGAAGGTGAAATATAATTGTCAGAAAATACGTAAACATAAATGTGACTTTAAGAGAAAAGTAAATATTTGTGTTTATTTTGACAAATATCCAATGTATTAAATAACGTATTAAAACCTTTCAAAATACCAACAAGAAAAATCAACTACTTTACAGTTAACCTAACCAAGGAAGTAAAAACAAAAAACAAACTAGAGTCCCCCCAAAAAAGGACATTGAAAGACCACACTTGAAAATGAAAAGATATCCCTTCTTCCTGAATAGGCAAAATCAATGTCCAAATGGCCATACTTTCAAAACTGATAGATTTAAAGGATGTTCAATAACAATGCCAATGTCACCAGGCGTGGTGGCGCATGCCTTTAAACCCAGGACTGCGGAGGCTTAGACAGGAGGATTGCTATAAATTAGAGAACAGCCTGGGCTACATAGTGAATTCCAGGTCAGTCTCAACTACATAGTGAGGCCCTGTCTCAAACAAAACAAAACAAAACAAAAACAAAAACAAAAACAAAAACAGGTACCAATTGCCCTGCCTACAGAAGTAGACTAAAATTTTCAAAATCACTATGGAATCAGAAGAGTCTTATAATACAAAAATCAATTCTGGACAGCAAGAGGAAAGCAGGAGGCAGCACAATACCTGACTTCATGTTCAGGCCAAGGTTAGAGTGGTTCTGACACTAAAGCAGTCAAGTGTGTCAAAGAACCAGAAGAGAGCATTCACAAGCAATCCTAGACTCATTCTCCAAAACAGAAGACCCAATCAAAAAATGGGTAAGTGAAATGGATACACACTTCTCAGAATTACAAATTTGTAGTGAACATAAAGAATGTTCAACATCTTTGGTCACTAGACTAAAAATAAATTAAAAGCACCCTATGATTTTCTCTTACACAAGAAATATATGCAATCATCAAAATTGAATATTAACAAATGCCAGCATGGGTGTAGTGTAAAAGAAACATTTTTACAATGTTTATGGAAATAGAAATAGCACAGCCATTGTGAAAATCAGTATGGACATTTCTCAAAGAGCTAAACAGAAGTTCCATTTGAAAGAGGTATCCAAATATTTTTCACCATACTCCTTCCCTCCCTTTACCCCCTCCTCAAATATTGATATTTTGTACAAAGAGTTGAAGACATAATGTGACAGTGAAAGACATACAGCTATGTTAATAGCAGCAAAATTCACAATAACTAAATCCTGGACATACCCTATTTGGCCAATAACAAAAAACTGGATAGAGAAAATGTGATATTCACACACAGGGAGCACTATTCAGCCAAAAATAAAGATAAACTGCATCATTTGTAGGAAAACGGATGCACCTTATCAAGGCTTTCATTTAATTGTTCCCCCCATGACCTCATAGCCTGGGCTTTTCAGCAGTATGGGGATCTAGGATCTAGGAATATGATATATGGATAAGACTAGTAGATTAGATCTCTGATTGGACTCGTATAATTCTAGATGTGCCTTGACAGAACTACTGAAAAGAGAAGACCCACACTGGGTGTGAGTGGCAGCAACCCATACGCTTGTAGCTCTGATGGGATAAAACCAAAAGGGAGGCTGGATGTTGCTGCTTCCTCCTGTCTGCGATGCTGTAAACTGTTTCTCTTCTGCACTGCCCCTCTGCTGTGCAGCCCTGAGGCCTTCTGACCGTGGACTGAAATCTCTACAAACTGTGAGGTGAACTAAGACTTTCCTCCCTTAACTTGTGAAGGATGGATATTTTGTCTCAGCAATGAGAAAATGACAAAGACATTTTGAGAATGACATGTGAAGTTCAATAAATTTGAAACACAAGGTGAAATATGTATATCTTTTGCATGAAAACATGAAATTAAAGAGCAAAATAAAAGTTTGATATAAGGAAACAGAGTGATAGATCTTTTGCCAACAGGAAGGGGACCAAGAGACCTGAAATGCGGGAAGTCTGGAAGGAGAGGGAATGCAAAGATACTGTGCCATGTATAAATACCAAACACTCTCAGTGAGTAGACACATTATATGTTGAAAACATGAACTAAAAGTAAGAATAGTAAACACAATAATGCAAATAGAAAATGGGGATCCAGAGGGGCAGGTGGGTGGAAAGGGGAAGGGGAATAGAAAAGAATTGAATCATAAGGCAGATTTCTTTTACTCCTAACAAGTGCTAATGAATACATTTGGAAAAGAAAGAATGTGTCGTGAACCTGCCTGAGTTCATCACTCAAGTTATTAATCATCATCATACTTTTAAAGGTTTTAATCCACCTAATATCTCTCTCTACCTCTTGTTCCTTTTTAATGTATATTCAAATAATGCATTTTAAATATGTTATACATGCCTATTTTCCTGTTTGAGACTTTATAGATGTAATTCTTATACTATAATCCTTTAAAAATTTTAACATGGTTTGAACTTTTTAATTTTCTCATTTCTTTAATTCTTTTTCTTTTCTTTCTTTGTTTCTTTTTTTTGAGGGGGATGAAACTCGGGACCTTGTGCTTGTGAGGCAGGTGGGAGCACTGCTGAGCTAACTCCCCAGCCCTTTCCTCTTATTTTTTAATATAACATGAAATTTTGAAATCAGAATACAAATAAATTTTCTGTTTCAAGTTAATGATATGTCAAAAATCTGGGTACTTGTGACTATGTATGTCTAAATTTAAAAGAACTGAAGTAAAATTTAATTAACAATTTATTTTCTCATTCATGGTGGTCTCATTTGCGGGGCTTACACACCTCAGGTAGCTACTTAAGGGGCTGTTGGAGTTTTAAGCCTAAATCCTTTCATTTGTTTCTACTTTTCATTTTTTTTTTTTTTTTTTTTTTTTTTTTTTTTTTTTTTTTTTTTGGTACTGGGGGTTGAACTCAGGTCCTTGAGCTTGCAAGGCAGGCCACTGAACCGCTGAGCTAAATCCCCAGCCCGGTTTCTACTTTTCTTGTGATGCTTAAAATGATGAACTAGTATCTCTTAAAGTGATCAGTAATAAGTTTTAATTTTTGGATAAATTCATGGATGAATTTAAGTTCATTTTAAAAGATTTTATTCATTGATGTTTATATGTGCTTATTTTAGTCCACCATGAAATTCTTAGTTTTATTCCTGTCTTTCACAAGGCTCAAGTTATCTTAGAGAACTCCTTTCCTATCTCATAAATCGACACGGTGTAGGAGCACTGGTATACATCCTGCCCCCATCTGGCTTCAGATGCTTGTCCAAGAGCCAGTGCAGTATCAAATGGAACTGTTGATACATACAAATGATGGTTAATTTCCTTAGGTGCATTCCTGAACTTGATCAATGAAAATGGCTTAGAATGCTACATATATAATAAAAGACACTTATGAGTATGCAGTAATACTTTTTAGTTACATTTGAGATCATATTTGCAAAAAAAGAAAAACCAAAAAAAAAACTAAGCAACTCTAAGCAGAAAACCTGTCTCACCTGGCAGAAGAAACTACTGCTCTCTACACATGAAAATTCTTTGAGTGACATTAGAATGTATAAAAATCCTTTTAATGTGCATTTCTACAAGCATGGAAGTTTTTTTTCTATTTTCCAAAATAAAACAGTGATTTTATAAATCCCAGATAGTTTTACAAATTCTTGCTTACTCA